AAACAAACTCGCATTTGCGCGACTGAGAAAATTTGGGCTGGTAACCTCCATTTTTAAGATAGGGATCAAGATTTACGTTTATCAAGATTCTCTATCAAGAAAATGTTTGAAGCCATACACTTTTAAATTATTACACTTTAAAAAGCGTCGCATGGACTTGGATCACATAATATTATGACAGCATGCTTTAATAGTGAAACACAAAGTTTGATAGATATACATAATGTCCCTGATAGAATGGCATCCATACTTCGTAAACTTTCTAGGACCCCATATTGTTATTGAAGCATTTGGTCAATTGCTTGCGTATCACAACTAATCATGCTAATAAAGAGTGTTTTGGCGGCATTTATAATGACTGTGTAATGGGTTAGGTATGTAGTAGTAAGTAAACATGACAAACAGCTGGCAAAGTCCTGTCTCAACAACTGTCAAAGTTGTATTCATTTGATAAAATTTTATTTCTATGATCAGATTACTTGTGTTCTTCTGTGTACTGTGCAACCATAAGGGTACATGTATTTAATAAAAATATTTCCTTCAACCTAGCAAATTGTTTCTAGTCACAGTAATAAGTAATCTTTGATTTAATAAAGACATAATACATATCCTTGTTTAAATGAACTAGTTTTATTCACAAAATGTATTCTTTTTATGGTGAGACGGAGTGAAATATCTGATTATGGCGACCAGAAATTCTGAAATGGCGACCAAAAGAATTTTTAGGTCCCCATTTAGCGACCTAAAAGCAAGTGGGACCTGGAGCACTGTACATTTTAATATATAATTCAATATACAAACCATTTCGTGGAGAAGAACATTTCCATCCTTGGTCAGTTTGATATCTCCAGATCCAGACACCAGCCTATTCAATATAATTATTTGGGTGTATAAATGATTTAGATTTCAGTTTCTTCCAAGTTCTTCAAAGTACAAGATTTCTGTACTGAATTTTTTTTATATTTTTGATCCTGTATAAACAAACATCAGAAATCTTAATTAAGACTAGCTATTTTCCTTTAAATTAAATTTGTGTAACATAAATGCTAGCTGCAGATCTGTTGTGTGATATGGTTTAATATTTTAGTCTGAGGCTCTGATATGGTAAAAGACATAGCACAACAGCTCTGCAGGTACAATAACAAGTAACACAAATGCCACATAAATGTGATTTCACCTGGGTCCTATAAACCGAGGACAAGAAATTAACAAAAGGAATATACCTCAATTCAATAGGCAATTATCATTTTAAAAACAGAATACTTTATCTGGAAGGGGGAAGGGGGGGGGAAGCGACTCATAAGAGTGTCATTAACTTCTTTTCATAATTATGAAGTCTTTTAGAATTTCTATTGTGCCAAACGTTTATTTCCAGTTGTCAAAGACCATATGCCAATTTCAATTTGTCTCTTTGATGAGTCTTGTTCAACAAAACTTGATGGTAACTGGTCGAAACAAATCAAAACATGAACAAACCACGTGTTCTGGAACATTCGGTTTTCCGATTTCTTTAAATTACTTACATTTTCAAAGTACCCTTTGGTCCTAAATTAGATTTAAGAACATCTTGGAGACCTTTGGCTGCGCTTATATTTACGGCTAAAGCTTGTGCAGCCCTAGCAACTTCAGCTTTAGGGTTGAGAGTTTTGATTGCCGACATGTTTATTTCACGTTCCTGGCGAGTAACTTCCCTTACATCCGAAAGGAGGCGCTGAGAGAGGTCAGGGGAGGAGTAATTGTAGAAATTAAATAATTTAACAACGAATCCAAAAGGAAAAATCTCATTATCTGAATGAAAATAAATTAAACCAGAGACATATATCTGACATTTATGTTCCTGCAGGTCATACGGTATATACTATGCATATATTCAGGTGCGGATCTAGGATTTCTTTTTGAAGAAGGGGGGGGGGGGGATACAGCTATTAATATAGTAATTGCATAAAAAATACGAATAATCGATAGAAAAAATTGACAAACGAAAAAAAACCCCTAAAATTTCAACAAACCAAAAAAAAAAAAAAACTCATTTCCCAAACGTGAAAAAACAATTTCTTCAGAAGGTTTTAACACATGTGCCTGATTGGTGGATCGATAGCCATGATAGCCTCTACCCCCTTATAATAAATATTTAAAAAAAATATGTAAGAGCGTATGATATCTCAAAAATATAAAGTTTGCCCGTAAAGCACATTTTTAGGCGTTCTATGCAAGCAGATTTTTGTAAAGTTTGGAGAATGACCTTATACGGGTATTTTTCAGCATTATAACGTATAAGGCCATTCTCTAAGCGTGAGAAAAAGTGACATGCTTATAAATGTGATTGACGAGTAGGTGACATAATCAACATTATCATTGGTGGTACTTTTCCATGTAGATCTAGTTACATACATGTATATCAATAAAAGGCGTTTTTGTACTTTATCTTTTTTTAATGATATTTCATTTATTTAGTATAGCAGTGCATTGAGTATTCAGTTTTTATGCGAATGGATCAATAGATCCAGGGCGTATGTTGTTTTTGTCCTGTCCGTTTGTCTGTTTAGCTGTTTGTCTGTCTGTTGTCAACTTTAACTTTCGTCATAACTTTTTAACCATAAGAGATAGAGACTTTATGTTTGGTATTCAAACTCCACAAATTAAGCTCTTTCAAACTAGAGGTACTGTGAGCGATGAGCTCACTAAATGATACCCCCCGCCTCCCATATGGTTATAACTGGTGAAAAAGTCCATGTTTTCCTGTGGCCGGGAAACCCAAAATATGTGTCGGATCAAAAAGTAAAATAGGAGGTGCACAATGGCAATATGTAATAAAGATTCTGTGAAAGTTTCATCAATTTTCATTCAGTGGTATGAGAGGAGTTGCGGATAAGAGATGGGTACCCCAAAGCGTAACAGACGGACGGACGGACGTACAGACGGACGGACGGAATTAACGATTACTATATACCCTCCCGCTTTTCAAGCGGGGGGTATAAGGACGGACGGAATTAACGATTACTATATACCCTCCCGCTTTTCAAGCGGGGGGTATAATGACACCAAGGTCAATGACCTTGTGACTTTGACTGTGACATATATGCTAAAAATAGTTTTAAAAAAAATGTCGCCATAACTTTTGAACGATAGCGGATAGAGACTTCGTATTTAGCTTGCATACCTCACTAATTTCTTTCAAGTGACACCGAGGTCAAAGACCGTGTGACCTTGACTGAGATCTAGTCGCTTAAAATAGGTTTTTTCAAACTTTTGAACGATAGGGGATAGAGACCTCGTATTTAGTATGCATAGTCCACTAATTAAGCTCTTTCAAACGACACTAAGGTCAATGACCTTGTGACCTTGACTGTGACCTTATATGCTAAGAATAACTTTTTCGAACTTTGTTGCTACCGGGCGCGTAGTGTTTAACAAACACACATCTTCATATATACTGTTAATTTTTACCTCTCTTAAGTAAATGCAAAATACACGATACAATTTCTGATTATAAGATTTTGATCCCAAACTTTCAAAATATCATAACTGACGTGAATATTGTACAAAATATAATCAGTGTCTTCTCTTAATATATCATTACATGTAACGTACAAACCCATTACAGTCCTCCTTTCCCTCTCCCCTCTCACCGTGTATCACAGCAAATCAAACGAATGAAGCTTTTTTCTGAAGAACTATGTATCATGCACGATCTTAATTTCCGAGTTGATTTTGATTGGTTTAATTATATGGGGGTAAGAAAAGCCTGTAAAGAACAACCTTTTATGCTTTTTGAACAAAAAAAAAAAAGAAAAGATGAATTGAAAATATTGGAAAGAGAAGTGTGTGAATAATGCTGAATATGAAATACAGAAAAAAGCCATCTTTTGCATTTTTTAAAAACTTAGTTTTTCTTTTCTTACACAGGTTTTAATGATCTATTGAAAGCTACAGTGTAGCATCGAAGGGGGTCTGATTAAAATCAGATCTTTGTTACGCTCCGAAATTCTGATAGTCGCTGTTCAGCAACCATCAGAATTTCGGCGCGTAACAAAGATCTGATTTTAATCAGATTGGGACCTTGGGGCCAAGTAGGTCTAGACCCAACTTTTCCAATCATAACTTTTTAATTTAATAATCATTGAAAGCCCGATTAATGTCTATAGGAAAATGTACATTATAACGTAATGTAGTAGTACATAAAAAAAAGTGGCACTGAAAGAAGGTCGCTTATAACCCCCCCCCCCCCCCCCCCCCCCACACACACACACACACTCCTCTACCAAAATGAAATAGGATCTTTTAGGTTTTTTCCTCCCCACTGTAAAAATAATGCTAAATCCCTGGAAAATGATTCTAATAACGAATTTTTAAAATGTAAGCAATTAAACTGATGGATTAAAAAGAAATCACTTGAGATAATCCTATTCATGAGAGAAGATCCAGGGATTTTTTTTCCGGGGTGAGGTGTTCCATCCTGGTAAAAAAAATCTTATACATCATATGTTTGACATTTCCTTCAATCTAACAAGAAGTTGCGTTATCTAGGAAGTTCTACTGTATTTTTCGTCACTTTACTGCCTATGCGACTTCACTATGCATATATTTAATATGTTTATCTCTCAGCAAATTCTGGACCGCCCACGCTGCCCTCTAGATCAGCGTGTTCGGGCTATATAGGTCTTCTTAATTTATCTTTTAAAAAAATTATTTGTGAAGATGTGCATTTTGAGGCTTTTTAAAATTTTGTTAGATATTAATATTTTAATGATTCTAATGGAACAATAACTAACGTTAATGCATGCCGAGTGGGGACCTAATAATAAATTCATTAATCATCCATTTTAAGTTATGCTGCTAGATTTTAATTATTTAATATTTGATAATTTATTTCATAAATGTATTAGAACACATTAAAATCACAGAATTTTGCCAACTCCCCCGATTTTGTCAAAATGCTTACTTAGTAATAATTATTGACTACTCCCCGAGTAGGATTTACACAACTATTGGTGACGTCATTCACAATTTGTATAATAGAAATCGTGTCGCAATGAATATGATAAAGGGATGCTTATTTAACTTTAAGGAGTTTTAAGTTGATTGGAAAGCTTAAAATTAAGGTATTTTTTTTTAATTTCTTTTAGTTCTGATTGAGTTGCATTTCACATGTGTAGATTTAGCCCACCTTTTTCCACGAGACAGCTGATATACTTGTTCTTGGTCAGTGCTGTTGTATAACTGCAATTTTTCTACGTGGTTGTCGGTCAGCGCATGTCCTGATGTCGATGACCCCCAATCATGTTAAAAAATATCTGAATTGCATTTTCTCTGAGTTAAATATCTGAGATAAACATTTAACTGAACTTGCACGTAGCACTGTACCAGAAATTGAACTTTGACCTTAGCACCTCAGCTAATGCAAACATTTGTAATAATTGCATGATCAAGGAAAATAGTTGTGATAAAAGAGAAGCTCTAAGGGTAAGTTGAATTAAAGTTGTAATATATAAACCGAATTTTCTGACCTCGTTGAAAATCACCTGAAGATCTTAAATTGACCTAAAATTAGGCCTAATTCTTCCACCTGTGATTCTTCTATGATTATTAAGGTACGTAATTCCACCTGTAATTAATAGTACTTCAATATGTGCATATTAGTCTAAACCAATTTCTAATATCGGCTTCATCAACCTGTCATAAATTTAATTGTGATCACAATGAACTGTTCACTGTTAGACGAGTATATAGGGTGAGTGGGTCTTTAGTAAACTTGATTTAATTAAATTACTTAAAAACCAGTAATTCATGTGCTAAAAATTTTTATTTCGGATCTATATATAGACAGCATTTTCTGATTGAAAAAAATGTAATCAATAATTTAAATTGAAAAGAGTAAACCAATCAATTTTCAATTTTATTTTTAATCAATCATCATCCCATCAGTATAATAGATTCAGGGCTGCAAATAAACATTTAAAAACTAAGGGGCCATGTGGGCCCCCAATATCACAACTTCTACTGGCCCACATTTTTCTATTCACTTAAATTAATGTATAAAAAAAGATCTACTTTTATTATTAGAATTTCATATATTACATTTCATGTGTATGTATATAACCATTAGGCCAGGTAAAATTAATCTTTAGATTCTCATCCTAATTTGCTAAAAAATTGGGGCGGGTGGGCGGATTTTATTTTTTATAATTGTTAAATTGTAAGTATTAACAAAACATGGACTTTCCGTACACATTTTTTCATTATGTTAATGCCAATATGAATAGATTTTATTTTTTTCATATTCTTTTAAATATTTTAAAGAAAATTCTTGCTTAAATTATTAGATATTTATTGTTAATTAACAAATTATCAAGTACACGTATACGTACGGCACACGCAAAACAAAATGAAGTGGGGTTCTGATATCAATAAAATTTGTATGCATGACTTCTCACCGGCCTTTCCCTAAAGACCCTTTAGTTTTACCTACAAATCCCTCTGTTTTCTGTAAAATATAATAGATTCCCACCTTCCTCAAAAATTGGATTGTTCTTGAGACTTGACATGTTCGACAATAAAATAGGTCATATTTACAAAATCTATAACATATTCTAATAAAATATCCTACCAAAATAACCGAGGCCTGAACAGGTTTGATATTTAACATTTTCTTAAACATTCTCCAAACCCTGCCTACGATGTTTTATTTTTTTTTCAAATCAAAATCACACACAGTTGGAGATCGTTTAAACTTGACCAGGTGTCATTTTGCATGTCTATTTTTTATACTTAGTTTTAAGAAAATCTTTAAAAACTTACTCATGAATGGCAGTAATGGTATCTAGATGTGTTTAAGCTATTATTTTTTCTCTGCCTTCTCTATACTGACAAATAATCTTTTCCTTACATATTTAAACTGCTTTTATTGCCGATTTTTCTACATTCTTCACATGGCTCTTTTGCCATAAATAGCGACACGCGACTTTTAATACAGATGGGAGATAACTCTTAAACTTCACCTAAATTGTTACTGAATAAAAATACATGAAAATGCTTTTATTAACACCCAAAAATCAAAATAAAAAACACAGGGGCGGGACATTTTGAGAGGGGCGGGCGGGGATGAGAATCTAAAGATTAATTTTATCTGGCCTTATATACATTTTAACAATGTACTTTCTTTTTGCCCCAAGAGGGTGGGCCCTTAATTGGTCAGTAAACGAATTGAATTGAATATAACATGCATAAGTTGACATGAATGAAATTCCATGTTTTCATTAATTTCAAAAACATTGTAATGTATATTGAAATATTTTTATACATGGTAGTAGCCAAAACCCCCCTCTCTAACAGTTTATGAATAAGTTGTTCTCGTGAATTGATGAAATATGAATATGATTGACTTGAAACTTGACATGGTTGACATAGGCTAAATGTTCAATTGTGTCACAGAAGTTATCACCATTTTTTTTGTACATTCTTCAACCATTTAAATACAACAACACACATGCTAAAATGACAAATAAAATAAACGTTATCTACACATATCATTAAATTCTGCACACACAAGGTAATTTACCCAATGTGTCGCATTTACATCTGAAAGACAAAAGCCATTATTTTCATGCTACTTATTATGTTCCTTAGGTTATAATTTAACTAGGGTGAATCAGGGAAAAAAATGCATGTGTTCCATTGTTATTCATCCACAGGATTGACAGGAAAACACATAACAGGGTACCATAATTATCATTCAAAAGAACTGCACCCCAGGGAGTTTATTCTATTTAGATGTAATGCGATTTGATGTAATGTTGTAATTTGTTAGGAAAATTTTTCAAGTTTTTATGAATTAGTGCTAATCAATGATGTGATATTTTAATAAAATTTCTTACTTGGGGATTTATCAGTTGTGTGAGGAAGTAGATGTAGTGTTCATTGTTATTGCCTTTCAGTGAGCCGACTGCTTATTTTAGTATGTATTAATGCAGTGTTGTTATAAGTTTTCTCCGACCATAATCAGAAAAGGTGCTCATAGATACACAGGATGTGAATTAAACTCTGTGGTATAAGAAGAGGGCCTGTAAACTCTGTGGCTTTGTTATATAATAATGAAGAAACAATGGCAACCTGCCTTGATGTGTATAATCATGTATAAAGGAAAGGAGGGGGCAATTTTTCTATTTCAGTTTATTCCTTTTACATATACCATGGTCATTATTAAATATTATTTGATTTGATATTGCATGCTCATGATAATAACAACGTCTAAACTGTAATCTTTTCATTCTTTCCAGGAATAATCAGTGATTTCGGAGTACCATATAAATAAAGGAAACCACTTAATTCCAGTGATTGTGTTGTGAATTGACCCAATTTTAACCCAGCCATGAGTACTGACGGTGGCGCCTCGGAGGTCCCAGTGGAAGAGGAGGGGCTGTTCTCAGTCCTGGACTTCTTCATTCTATCTGTACTGGCGGGCATGGCTGCTTACTGGTTCTTCTTCAAGAGCAAGAAACAAGAACAGCCAACCTTCAAAAAGCTGACTGTACAGTAAGCTGTTGCACTCTGTTACACTGTCAATACGAAACTAGGGTAGTTGTAGGAGTGTTGTACTTCTGTGAAATCCTTTGGTGAGGTTAATGATGCTTTTTTAATGTGAAGGGCCTTAGTTTTATGCTCTACATGGCTCTATTAAGAGACCATAAAAAAAAATTTTTCACTGTGTAGGAATGAAAGATTGAGTTGCAGGATGCCTAAGAGTTCAAGATCGTATGTGATAAAAACATGGCTTGCTGTTTGGGAATTTTTTGCCAATCAATAAAATTCTGCATTAACACTTTGATTAGTATGAGGACTTTTTTTACAGACATGATTTACATAAATTGAAATGTTTTGCACTCTGACTGGTTATTGAGCAGATACCAGTCAAGCTAGGTCATGAAAATCAATTAACTATAAAAGTACATGAGCACTTTTACAAGTAATTTATTGTTCCCTCTTAGAAAGGGCATGCCACGTCTGTTTAGCATGTTTAAGGAATAAAATAACAAATAATTTGATGAAAATTTACTTTTGACTTCTAGTATAATTTATTACATCATCAAATTAAATTATCTACCATATTACTTATCAAGTCTTTTTATATGTACTTGTAGACCAGTTCAAGGAAGAATGAATGATCCTAGTTTCATCAACAAAATGAAATCTTCTGTAAGCATATAATAATTCTGACTCATGGAATGGCCAGTTTAATGTTTCCTTATCAAATTCACATTTTTATGAATCTTCAAGTTTAATATGTTTTACTGTGTTTTTCCATGTTTATTCAATTTTTTTTTTAAATTAAAAAATGTTTTATAACCTAAACTTATATGAGAGTTGAAGATTGTTGTATTTTTTCTCTGTAATTTATTTCAAAACATATATTATTTAGAAGATTTCAATGAAATATACTGGGGACAATTAAGAACTTGTTAAATTTTAGGAAGAGTCATTGAAGGGTTTGGTGAGGGGACTTTTTCCAGATTTTGTAAATATGTTTTGCATAAGGGTATCTGAGAAATAGCATTGATATAATGCATATATTTGTATAACTGGTTGTAGAGTTGTGCTGTCTAAATAACCTTCGTGTTCCGTTCATCATATAAATGTTTACTAATATTTACAGGGTAGGAATGTTATTGTGTTTTATGGTTCACAAACTGGCACAGCAGAAGAGTTTGCTGGTCGCTTGGCTAAAGATGCCCAGGGATTCGGCATGAAAGGCATGGTGGCGGATCCAGAGGAGTGTGAAATGGTAAAATTATTCATTATAATGGTAGAGCCCTAAATCTTGAATTGTAAACAATTTTTATAAATTTCTTACGTTTTAAATAAAAAAGAGTAACTGTAATACCCATGTTGAGGTCTTCCCTTCTCGATAATTCTTCTCAAAAAGAGGCAAAAATGGACGGTAAGAAGTTATGAATAGCAGCTTTATAGACTGTTTCTCTTAGTTACTCATAAACATCCTTTTGTAGGACAATCTTTGTAGTCTACCAGAGATAGAGAATTCCGGACCTGAGAATTCCCTAGCTATATTTTGTATGGCTACCTATTTTTTTTTTTACAGGACAATCTTAGCAGTCTACCAGAAATAGAGAATTCTCTAGCTATATTTTGTATGGCTACCTATGGAGAGGGAGACCCCACAGACAATGCCCAGGAATTCTACAACTGGCTACAGAATGGGGAATCCGATCTAACAGGAGTCAAATTTGCTGTAAGTACATGTATTACATTGAAAATTTGTTCAAATAAGCTTTACAATCTTCTAATATTAATTTTTGGAAAAGGCATTGGATATCAAAGACTGTTCTCATCTAAATTAAACTTGAGGCACTAGATTTAATATAAACATCTATTAGCTGAAAATGACGTGATCAGATAGTTGTACAAGGTTTGGAAAAATATATAAATAGTGCATGTGCCCTTTCAGGTGTTTGGATTAGGAAATAAGACATATGAACATTACAGTGCTATGGGAATCTATGTAGACAAAAGATTAGAAGAGCTGGGAGCGGAGAGGATCTATGACTTAGGACTGGGAGATGATGATGCCAAGTATGTACAAAGAAATATCATGTCTCTGTAATTTTATCATTTCTCCTAATGCTTTATAGGGCCCAGTATCTTCAGGTACTCTAAAGTTACAGTGCCCATTTGTCTAAATTTTTATGTAAGGCAATAACTAGACTTCAAAAATAATTCAAAGTCACTGATGTTTGTCTTATATTTATATGATGCAGTATTGTGAATGACATTTTGACATGAACATATTGCTGAACAGGGTTCTGTACATATTTATGAGTTTTCTAGAAATAACTTTCTCATATATAATTTACCGACAATTGTACAATGCAGAGTAGTTTTATATTCATGTTTACTTTTAAAATTCTGAATGTATGACCCTATGAATATTGATATTGTATGCCATTGCTTTTGCTTTCAGTATTGAGGAAGATTTCATAACCTGGAGGGAGAAGTTTTGGCCGGCGGTGTGTGAACACTTCGGTGTTCAGCCCACCGGGGATCAAGTCAGGTCAGTGAGAGAGGGTTACATTCGTCTGTTAGGTTTCATCTGTATTATCAAGTATCACCACAGTTCAATAACCTCACAGATTGTAATATATAATGTACCATGTTTTAGTCCAATAAGATCTTTATGGAGTCATTGACTTTAGGGACTAGAAGACTGATAACATGTAGTTCCCTTATTACATCATATGATAGTAATGGCAAAGCCTTATTTTATTGTTGTATAAAATGTGTTACATTTGTATGTAATATTTTATAATGGTTTCAGTATACGCCAGTATAGCCTCACTGTCCATGATGATCTATCAATAGAGAAATGTTACAAGGGAGAAATTGCCAGATTAGGATCATTTGGAAACCAAAAACCGTAGGTTTTGTTTTATATGATAATCTTAAAGTAATTACATGTATTAACAAGGACGCACCTTGCTAAGTGTACATGTAAGTATAATGCCGATGTATTATGTTATATAATATTTGTTTATAGACCCTACGATGCTAAGAACCCATTTTTGGCACCTGTGAGTGTGAACCGAGAACTTCACAAAGGCGGAGACAGGTCCTGTATGCATATTGAGTTTGACATTACAGGATCAAAGATCAGGTTTGTGTAATTTGATACATTAATTTAGTCCAGTGTTTTACATGATAGAGTCATCGGTATATAAACATTGTTAAACTCTCAGTCCCCATTTTCAGAACCTCTTTTGCATAGAACGATATTTTTTATAATAATAATCCAATATAATAATTTACTAGTCATAACCTGCTGACTGATAAGTACAACTCTCAAATATTTTTGATGAAATCAGAAGCCTATTTTATTTCACAGTACAGAAGTACATGTAAATCCTCCTCCCTTTAACTAAGACTAAGTCTCTGTATTGTAGATATGAGGCAGGAGACCATGTGGCGGTGTACCCTGTCAATGATCCAGAGCTGGTGGAACTAATCGGAAAAACCTTAAATGTGGATCTAGATCAAATGTTCACCCTCACTAATGTCGACGGTAGGTTTAATTTGTTTGGAAAATAAGAAGGTTCCAATAGAGTAGAAATGATAGATTTATGTGATCATGCAGCTGTGGCCAATCATAGTGGATAACACCTCGGGCATAATTACAGCAAAGTTAATCATTTGCCTGAACATTATGGAAACAGCTTTGATGTGGTAGCCTTCTGTAATTTTATCATGTTATGTGTTAAAGAGCTTTTTTTTTTCATTGCATTTACTTTGAGATGCAAATATTTATTCAGATTTTTTGAGAATAAATGTTTTTTTCTTCTCTTTTGTATGCAACAATTTCATGAAATTCTGAAACAGAAATGGCCCTTTTTCTTCAGGGGATAAATTTGTTCTCTCATGTTTCTAGTAAGAGTAAATCATACCTGCGTTTTTAGAGGAAAATGAATTTGTTCACAAGTTAATTGACATTTTGTTCATTCTGTGCCATTTCTTGCCTCAGAAGAGTGATATGAGTAAACACATTCTGAATTGTAAGCTTACAGAACCATTTTCTTTTCAGTATCCGGTACTACAACAAAGAACATGAAATATGCAATCAATTATAACAAATTACATGGATAGAATTTGAATGTAATTTATAACCCTAGTGTATTAGACTACAATTCATAACTCTGTTATATTTGACTTACTTTTATTACCTATAAATAATATTATTACAGAGGAGGCCAGTAAGAAATACCCCTTCCCGTGCCCCACCACCTACCGCACTGCTCTCTCCCACTACCTCGATATCACAGGGACACCAAGGACACACATTCTACGGGAACTGGCAGAATACGCACAGGACCAGAAAGATAAAGATTTCCTGTTAAAACTGACATCTTCTACACCAGAGGGCAAGGTACACACTCAGAAGTTAAAATTATATTGTGCTTACTTTAGTATGCACTTAAGGCAAAATAGATATCAAATTTAAGGCAAACATATATTCATTTTGATGTAAGTGAATTTTTGAGCTATACTGCATGGACAGTAAGAGTATAGTGAGAGGTTTATGCATTTGTTTGAATTTGACCCGAGAACTCTGGCATGCCAATCAAGCTAAAGGCTGAACACATTAGCACAAGCTAGCGGTAGTAGGAAGCTATGAAAGAGATATCCTCCTCTCTTATAGAGAGATCTAAAGGAGTGCTCTACCTTGGGTAGTGTGTAATGGATGGCCTCCTACTACCTTGGGCTTGTTCTGAAATGGAATAATTAATCTTAGGATACATTATAAATGATTGAGAAATTTTGATCCTGATTTATGGGATATTTTGTTATTACAGACGTTGTACAGTGATTGGGTAGTTAAGGACAGGAGAAACATCACGGCTATACTTGAGGACCTCCCTTCTGTCAAACCTCCTATCGACCATCTCTGTGAACTGTTACCTAGGTTACAGGCTAGATACTATTCCATTTCTTCATCTCCCAAGGTTTGTATGGTGACCACCAAATTTTGGATCTTACAGATAGTCTAAGATTACTTTTCCTTCAATATTTTTCAAGAAAAATGACATTTTTGTCAATTACATCAATTTATACACAAGTCTATTGTGTGTGGCATTTAAATAAACAATTATTCAATTGAAGTCTAAGTTCCTTTTCAGTATTGTCATTATCCTTTATTTTAACATCAATTTCATTGCTACAGGTCAATTCTACTAGTATACATATAACAGCGGTTGTAGTCAAATATAAAACCAAGACAAATAGGATGATGAAAGGAGTCGCTACCAACTGGCTGACCCTAAAGCGACCGACCAATGGCATTAAACCTACCGTTCCCATCTACGTCAGGAAATCTCAGTTCCGTCTTCCTTTCAAGGCCAACACACCAGTCATAATGATCGGACCCGGCACAGGGTTAGCTCCCTTTAGAGGATTTATTCAAGAAAGGAATTTCCTAAGGAAAGAGGGTAAATATGAATTATTGCATTCAGTTACTGTAGACGTACTACTTTTTACCACGGGGTCATAATTCCGCGGAATCTCAATTTCTGTTTAATCTGCGGGTAGAAAATTACTTGGATTTCTTAGACTGTATAGTAGACACTATATGCCTTACATTTGTATTAAGTACGATTGGACAAATTTCCACAGAAAATTTGTGACAGCGTACATAACGTAAATTAATACCAAGCGGAAAAAAGTACTTCTACATTATTTTCATGTATCGATACATTACTTTTGATTATGCCTTATCATTAAGAGTATTTTTCTTTGAAAAGTCTATTGCTAATTTTATTACACAGTAATATCTTTTTAAGGGTTTTAGGTACATATAATCTCAAATATATCTAAAAATTGTTTTTAAAAAAATCGAAACTAATTAAAAAAAGCTCTTGAATCCTACACAAGTAGCTATGAAGTGAAACATTACACTCCCTTTTAAAAAAATAAAAAAATAAACTGTTGTGCTGACTTTAAAGAAATTATAGATTACTACTTATAAAAGGCATGTGTGAACAAGCTTTGTGAGGATAGATGTATATTGTTGTAGGTAAGCCTGTGGGAGACACGGTGTTGTACTTTGGTTGTCGTCGTAAGACGGAGGATTATTTATACGAGGAGGAGCTGGAGGAGTACACAAAGGACGGCACACTGACTAAGGTCCACCTGGCCTTCTCCCGCGATGGACCGGACAAGGTGTACGTACAACATCTCCTCAGGCAGAACATGGAGGAAACCTGGAAGATGTTAGAGAAAGGAGGGCATATATATGTGTGTGGGTAAGCAGAATTTAATTACTTGAGTTACTTTGAAGCCTGTAGATGCGAGTGATTTATCAATCAAATATTAAAAATAATTATCGATAAATGGCATATTTAATTGGATTGTAAAGCAAAATACAGATTCAAAGATTTGCAACTCTTTGTTCATACTTTTATATTGTTCTTAAATATAATGGTAGTACAGTATTTGTAGAGATTAATTTCCCTATTAGTTATACAAGTACTATGCATGTAATTTGAAAGCTAGCTACTTAATTTATGAATTTCATGTGATTTTAGAGGTGAAGAAATCATGTAATATAATTTAACATTCATGTTCTTTATCACAAATGACAGATGCATATTGTGCGTTTAAATTTTAGTGATGCTCGCAACATGGCAAGAGATGTACATGAAACATTAGAGAAAATTATCATGGAATGTGGCAATATGGATAAAGAAAAGGCAACTAATTATGTGAAACAGATGCAGAACAAGGGACGCTACTCTTGTGATGTATGGAGCTGAAGATGGTCATTCATAATTCAACAGATCTGTTCAGAGTGGCTGACCAAAGTGATAAAGGGAAAAAATGTTTTAATTTCAAATCTTTAGTATGAATTAGCTGACATAGTGTGTATATTTTTAAGTATTTTACACTTTTTCATATATGAAGAGCAATTTTTTAAGGCATTGTTTAAATTCTTTAGTCATAAATATTTATGTTTACTTCAATAATAACTTTCTTTTATATAATTTTTTTTTTGCTGAATACCAATTGATCTGACATATTGTCAGATTATTGTTGGGTTTTCCAAGCAGAAAAGGGCTTTCATCATCATAAGTGAATGACTACAGTCATGATAATGAATGATTTCCACCGCTATGAAGTGTAAATGATGTTTTGGCCTTACTCAGATTAGTAAAAAGTTAAAAGTAAAAAGTTATAGTAATTTTTAAAGTTTAATTTGAATTTTAAATTTGGAGACTGCCTTTATGAGATTTCTCTTCTTTTGTGCTAGAAAGCTTCGAAAAAGGCTTGATCCTTTGTATGACAAGATTTTTCCATGTGTATGTATGTATAAAATGATTCCAAAAGATAATAAAAACATGGCATTATGACCCAATGGTTAAAAACATCATGTTACCCCATAATGTTTGTTCACTTCAGATTCATTGTAATCAAGTTTGTTCACTGCTTTGAATCACTTTTACAAAGTATTTATATGTACAATGTTTGTTTATTTTTATTTTTTGTGATTGGAAAGAAATAAGAACTTTAAAACATCATTTTCTATCATGGTGCTGAGATATTAATAGATTTATATTGTGAGAACAAAATTGTACTCTGCGCATACTTAATTTTTAATACTATGAATTACCTCATTTGGATATGAAATTAAATGAATGCTGCTGTAGAATACATTCATTAAGTGATAAAACATGTTTTTGATAATATATTCTTCATATGTGCCGGTAAATACAGCAAGAGATTGAAAGTACTATGTCATTGATCAAGAAGTGATTGATTTTACAATTTTTTTTTTTGTAAATATGTATATTGTCCTTGTCCATGTATAGTAGTTGGTAGATCTCCATTTTATGTCCAAGCATTACAATTAATTAATCAAGTAAATGATTTTATTTTGATGCCTGACTTTTGTGTTTTTTAAATTAAATCCAAAGTTTAAAGGAAATCACAGGTTTCAATTCATACTGAGTTGTAATTGGGGAAAAAAATCATCATCTAGATGCATTGTATTAAGGAGGAATGCCACACCAACTTTTTATTTTATACAAAAAAATGTAGATCTCTGAGTCAACCTTTTTAAACAATGGTTTCAGCATTGAAAGGCCGACATTAGCTCTCAATTATTTTATATGATTTTGGCCAATCCTATTCAAAATTAAACCGTTATTGTACAATTATTTGAAATGAATAACATTTTCCTTAGAACACTAGTCTGATTAGGTGTAATATGGGTTAAAACATTATTGAACTTGACAATAAAATAGATTTGTTCATTGTAAAACATGAAGAGGCAATAAATTAGCATTTTATTCATTTTCTGTGAATTTTGATCGGGATCGGTTTAATTTTGATCAGGTTATGTTTTAAATATTTAAAAAATTAATTTCTCTAAAATTTCTCAATTTCGATTCAATTTCTTTTTAAAATATGATTGATAAACATGTTGTCCCAAGTTGTGACTAGTTTTATGGTGTTTTTAACCATAGGTTTAAAAAATATTCACAAATAATGTGTTTAATTTTCATAAATAATTTCTTATAAAAAAATTAAAAAGTCTAATATTTCCCACAATCCATGAATTTTTTTGATTATTTAAAAGTATAAACAGTTTATTCTGTCAGTTTCCAGGTGGTAAAGTTGTTCATATTGATTGTAATTTTGATGTTGACTCAAGGATAGTAAAGGGAGATACTCTTGTGTGAGAATTGAAGAAAAAAAGGGGATTAATAATTATGATATTTCTTGATTAATGAAATAATATTAACGAAAGCATTTTCCCCCAAAGCAATATATCCTCCTCTGCACACATCTCAGTATTTTAAGGATCAAACATATCCCTGGTATATGAATGTATTTTTTTTCTCAGCTGATAAGAAGAAATGCTTATTTTTGAGTACTGGATTTTCTTAGAGGTATATATGGATTGAGAGGATACACTTGACTTTTGAATTGCCCCTCCTACATATAAGTCATAAGTCTGCAGCTGCTCTTAGCAGCCATGATAGGGATTTCCCTATACTCACAAACAACACTGATTTCGTAATAAGTTTTAAATTTAAATTGGTTTATGGATTTATGTATTATTTCTATTATAATATGAAGCAATACTTCTTTTGAACAGAAATTACAATTTTCTCTTGTTCCCTAAATGCCAAATGTACAACTTTGAAAATTGATTCTATCTTATTCCCCTTTTGTCAAAGACATCTTTTTAAGGATCATCTAATTAAATTTTTGCCATATGATGCTTTTAAGTAAGCATGTAAATGGATATTGTTCATTACAAATTGATCGAGGAGGAGGGGTCTACTTTTCTTAATTTTTCTCCAATGTTTATGTATCGGGGTTATTGTTGAAAAGTTCGTGGACTAGCGCCATCAATCAAAACTATTTTAAGGAATACAGCAAAAAAGTTTTTATACTTTGAATTAATTGTCAATGTTTTCGTAAGTAATGGAATGACCCCATGGCGCAACCACAAAATGCGATGTCATATTCTAACAGAGACAGTGAATTTAACAGAGACAAATGAAAATTTCACATCCAATTTTCACCCATGTGGTTGGACACAATTGACAAATTTACCTTATTTTCTCAATTTTCTGAGATTTTAATCTTAAGAATTTTATTTTAAGTTCTCTTGAGAATGTATAAAATAAGACGCCTGAAAGTACGGAAGCGTAAATGGCTCTACACTTGTTGTGTTATACCTTTTCATATTGTCTTATATTTTATCGACTTATCGGCATATGAAAATTTACTTTCTTATTTATACACATATTTTGAATTGTATCAAGATTTTTTAACATAATTGAAGGGAACCTCTTCTGTTCAATAGATTTTATTGCTTTAAGTTTAATCGACTGAAATAATATATTGATTTTCAGATATTGATCGAAACAAATTATTCCATGTTTCCCACTGTTGTTGATGCCCTGGCATACTATACTAAGTAGACAGTTATTCCGTAAGTACCTCCTCCTTGGCAGATATAATTTATAAAATGTTTTCTACTCAGTGTAATGACCATGCTTCCTTTAAAAGTGATTTTCTTTGTGAGAAAAAATTATTAGTTCAATAGGGAAATTCATCTGTGTTTAGACTCTCTTTAATAAAATTTTCCACTGTGAAAGAAAAAGATTTAAATTTCTCATCATTTATTATAATATACTGTATATTGCATTACTTATTGAATGACCTTCGTATACCGAAATGTTCAGACTACCTTTTGTAATGGAATACAGTGTGCTACGTGTAGCTACGGTTCTCGTAATAAGTACATCAATAACTATAGTGAAAGGCTGACTTTCTGTCGTTTTCGTCAGATTTCAATCGACGTCACGAAGTCAGAGAATTTCAGTTGGAGAGAGGTACCTCCTTCACAAGACAACAAATAATGTCATTTGGAATAGCAGATATTTTAAATGGTCCATTTAACATTTTTTGCAGGCGAATTTTTATTTAATATTTCCATTTTTAAAAGTATATTTCCTGTATGGTTGTAGAGTCTGATAAGAACAAAAAAGATGTCGCTATTTTCTGTGTATTGTAATTCTTCCTTCAGGATATCGACTAGATTTTAAAGATGTTGCTCTAATTGCAAATTGCTCAGCCATCACCGCAATAGGAATTGTTAGCTTTCTCATTCCACGAGAGAAGAAATACTCAGTTATATTTCACAATGTATTTAACGTTATTCATATCATTTATCAAACAGTACTGATTTATTTCTAAAACCCACTAAGATTTGGAGACGATATCCGAAATGGCTAACAGGTTTGAAAATACTATTGCTATTCTCAATAGTTTAATATTACTCAATGTTTGAAATACTTTACAGGTTTCAATTTTATATATATATATATATATATATATATATATATATATATATATATATATATATATATATATATATATATATATATATATATATATATATATATATATATATATATATATATATATTTCATTGAAGGCTTATATCATCTGATCTATTTCAAAATAAATAGAGAAATGCCTGGAGTGAAAGAGAAATGAACATGTATATATTGAAGACACATTCAAGGCACAATTTATTTAAAACGGTATTGAGGGCGGTACCATCTCCCTAATTTGGTTTATTTTAAGTGCGATATGAATATAAGGAAATGTTCTTGTACTTAAATTTAATCGTGATGAATTCTTAAACCACAAATTTTAAAATGTTACCCAAGAGATCACATCGCAAAACAGGCAACCCATTAATCCCCTTCTTACTTGCCTCAGCTTTGGTGGGACTTTTTTTCCCTCCTATTTTTTCTGTGATTGCAAATATAATAGACACATCGACCAAGATCATTGGAATTGTGATTATTTTCTATACAACACTCTCTTTATTCTGCCGAAGAGAGGAATGGATAACACACGACGTCCCCTTGTCCGGGGTGACTAAAACCAAGATCGGAGTTCTATGGATTCTTGGGGTATTTAAATGTGTCTTTGGATTTATTCATAGGGAGGTTCACTGGAGATGTGCGATGAATGATGAATACCAAATAGTAAGGGACATCGGGAAATTTGCTTCAGTTCTTTTTACAATCCTACAGTCGTTCATCGTTTTGTATTGCCATAAACATTCCTTTGTAAACAATACAAAAATAAGAGTTGTCATAACTTCGATGGTCGTTACAAATTTGACCGTTTGGCTTACAGGGCTTGTATATTGTGTTACAGAAAAAGCAAGCTCAGATAATTCAACTTTCATTGAAGATATGTATAACTGCACCTATGTTAAAGAAAATAATTTAGAAACATTGGTTCGATATACGGAAATATTCAGAATACCTTTTGTTATGGAATTCAG